TCATACAGAAATTCATTTAACATGGATAAAACTGAAGTTATGAAACACACAGTAGATGTTGCAAAGCTATGATACAGAGCAAATTTCTTCTCGTCCCAACTGAGTTGAATGCACACATATCCCCTCACAAACACATGCACACATACACACACACACATATGCGCACACACACACACACACACACACACATAGAGTATGGCCTGAGCAAACACACCCATCTCCACTGGTGATGCCAGTGGCCCTTAGCAAACTTATTAGGGAGAGAGCATCCAGTCAGCCGTTCACACAACTCATCGTGTTCCACAGGGCTGTGTCTCCAAACCAGACAGAGCATCACTTCAGTGGAAAAACAACAGAAGACTCATCACTCCAGAGCTCAGCCAGCCAATTATAGATTCATCTGTACATACAACGCCAGTGGCTAATAATGTCACGCACACAACTGCTGTAGCTTCCATTTGCTTAAAACTGTTGGCAGACGTTGTATTTTCACTGACATGTCTTTATTGTGTCTGATAGTAAATATTACTGTGGCACTCTGGAGCTGACTTTATCTTCACTTTCACCACTTAAGACCACTTATCTTCAATCTGGCTAGAATGAAAGTGCTGAAGTCCACCATTCCAAACCTTTCAGAGTTGGGAATGACTTGTGGGATCAAAAAAGAACTGAAAATAATAAGACAGAAAAAGATAAAGAGACTGAGCAACTAGGCAACTCTGTGTTTTTCTGTATAATTTGTAGTGGCTTTGGTAATTGTATTTGTGTGAGTTTGTCTTTATTGAGAATTTTTTTTATGGAGAGTTGAGGGGGAAAAGAGAGGAATTCTATTCTATTCTATTATATTTATATTTTAATTTAATTAGTTTGTGTTATGCATAAACTGTTCTATTATTTTCCATTTTCACTTTTAGTTACAGTACACATAAATTAAAATAATTATAGAATATCATTTCTGTGGTGGGGCTGATGAAAATGTGTTCTGTACAAAGGGAATTATTACAATTAAATTATACATTTAATAAAAATAAATTCAATAATAATAATAACACAATCTTATAATAATTATAACTTTTTATGTATTTATTTATTTATTTGTTTATTACTATTTTTACTCTATTTACTCAGACTGATCCTATCAGTAACTGAAAGACTGCTATATTCTCTTGAATTGTGTAGGGTGCTCTGTTCAGAAGTTGGCCACATCATGTCTTGTTTCAGTAGAGTATTTTTGGAGCACTTGACAATCTGCCCTGCTGTTTGTGCATTTGTTTGTTTGTGTGTTTGTGTGTGTGAGCAGAGTGACAGAAATACACACATGTCCCTATATGAGTGACTTTCAGCAGGATATCCATGCACTGATTGATGCGGTCTCATGGGGAGATGTGGATAGAAGACGTAAAACAAGACGCGCAGTACAGCACAGAAGATCGCTAACAGCCCTCTACTTGATCCAATGCCACTCCTTCAGCTGTGTGTCCAGACGACAGGGTGACCTCAGGGCTCTTTTCAGATGTTTAACTAAGAGAAATAGGAGCTCAATGAATCTCAACTGTTCCATGATGTCAACATGACCAGCAGTGACAGCAGCTCAACAATAAGGATTTTGTCCTGCTGGTCTGGATGGCCCTGTAGATTTTTGTACTTTTGCCCTACTAACATTTTCTTTTGTGCCCCCTGAAAATTATGCATTTTTATGCATATTTTTAGCAACACATTGTTATACTATACTACATATGTATATACATATATAGTGTGTATACACATTTGTGTGCGTACAGTATATGTACAATGTGCACACACACACATATAAAAGTTTATATATTTATATATAAATATATATTTATATTTATATATATATCGCTGATTCCTGAGATAAGGGACAAAACGTTTTAAAATGTGAGTTTTTATTATTTAATTATACATTATTTATAAATTAATATATTTGTAGAAAGGTCATCAACTAATGAGCCATGTAAGGGAACAGGTTTTTCTGAATTTTTTTTTTTTTTTTTTTTAAAAATGTACATTTATTCACTTCATAACTTAATTTGTGTCAACTCCGTCAGACGCATTAAAAAGCATGATATTTTAATTTGATCCACCCAACAACAGTGTGAACTCTTCAATTATGTAATAATGGTGTTCAGTAAAGGAGCTGAAGTGATTAAATATATTCTCTACATTTTGTTTTCCAGGTTTCACTCTATTATGAACAATCCAATTCCTACATCTCTTAGTTTTCCACCATCCTTTTTAATATGTTTCTTTGAGAACATAGACATATTATCATGTAGTTCTGTTCGTTTTACTATTTTAAAACAATAAATTGAAAAACAGAATAAAATCTTTATTTCAAAATTAACAGAAACCTTCATCTGACGGTGTTGACAAAAACGAAAAAAAATCAGTTTAATATAATAATAATTCCCCATATGCAAAACATATATTATACCACTATATAAAAAGTTTTGTGAGCATTTGTCAACTCTGTCAGCTTACATGTCAACACCGTCAGACATAAAACCCGAGTTGACGTCTGACGGAGTTGACAAAATGGAATATGTTTGCACATTAACCACGTGTTGTACAGTGGAGTAATTTTGGTTTTAGTTTTTTTCTTCAGTTCTAGCTGCATTAATAAACATAACAAAAATGCCTAGATTTATCCCACAACTATTTACAGAAACTATTACACTGGGATGACGGAGCTGACAAAGCTGTGACTGAAGAAACCTCTATTGTTTGTATAAAATATATAAAACTTCCAGGACTGTGTGTGTCCTACTGTAAGATCCACAATGAGCAGCAAATAGGAAAGGGTTCCTCAGAGTTAAAGTTGCTGCTGACATTACCTGATTTATTCAGAATTATTTAAAAAAAATCCTGACAGAATTGATGCAAAGTGAGGACATAACTTTGATAGATATTTTTTATGGGAAATATAATTAAGAATTTAATGTTTGCATTGTTTGATATATTACAGATCTTTCCATATAAATGTCTATTTTTGAATTTGTTGCATTTTTAACACTTTGTTTGGCAGTTTTACATTGTGACCTCATGCTGAGGACAGGTTAAATTACATGTATTTCCAAGTGTAGAGCATGTATTTAAAATAATACGAAATAAAGTATTTAAAATAAAAGCAATGAATGCCTTAAGTATACAGATTTACTTTAGATGTAACTTTTTAAGTACTTTTATTTTTATGAATTTCTTCATTTCTAACATAAAGAGGGCTTTTGTTTATAGGACATGTTTTGGCCCTTATCTCAAGAATGAGTTTTTCTGGGAAATTAAATAAATGATAACATTACCCTGGTGACATATTTATACTAGCCCAGTATCCAACAATGTTCAGTTATCAAAGAAAACCAAACGTCTAAGTTTAAGACAAATAGAAACGCATAAAGGTGATCAATAAATGTAAAATGTTATGACAACATAGCTCTGCACAATAGGTCAGTGACAGTTCAGTCAACTGGCCCCAAAATCTCTCACACTGGCCCCGGCCATCCAAATTGTTGAGCCCTGCAGTAAAGAGCTCAAAGGGCTGACAATATCAATGATAACGTCTTTAATGGTACAACAGTTTCTGATGAATATTGTTATAAAACTGACTGATTACTGACTATTTCCCTCAGGTTTAAATCAAAATCCTTACAGAATCATTGCTTCTTAATCTGAACAGATGTGTTAATTAAAGAGTGTTTTAATTGGTTGTCTTATTTTCACATTTTATTTTACTTGTAATGTTTAACCAATCATAGCTGGAGTGTTGTGAGTTGGGTGGAGTGGGTTTACAGTATGTTTGGGCAGCAGAGACAGATGTGTGTTTGTGCTCCGTCTGTGGTCAGGGAGTGGTGTTTAGAGAAGGAGAGGCACATGATCAATAGGGCCTGTGTGCATGTGTAAAATGCTCTAGTTTGTCCATGTGAGGTGTGCGTTTGATAGACAAGTCCAGAGATTATGGAGTTTATTATAGTAGGCTAGTGGTGCACTAAATGATATTCATGAGCTACATGGAAAGATTTTATTTATTAATTCATTTATTATTATTATTGTTATTTTTAAGGAGCAGATACACTTATAATATTTCATATATCACACAAGACTGAATTTAACTGTAAAAAATGATGCATTGTTGATTAATATCTCCCCCTAGTGGAGGTTAGTAGCAATGCTGTAATCCCCAGAGATCGTCAGAAAATGATGAACAGATAATGTTGTTGTAAATAATATATATACATGATGAACAGAAAATGTTGTTTTAAATAATATATATACATTACAGTTCAAAAGTTTGGGGTCAGTAAGTTTTTCCTTGAAATAAATGAATACTTTTATACAGCAAGGATGCATTCAATTGAAATAAATGCTGTTCTTTTGAACTGTGTTTATGAAATAAATGTATCAGTTTCCACAAAAAAACATTAAAACTAGTATTCTATATTTATAAAATATATATTATGTTATAATTATAAAATAAACATCATGTTTTCAGCATTGATGTTAATAAGAAATGTTTTTGAGCAACAAATCAGAGTATTAGAATAATTTCTGTCACACTGAAGACTAAAGTAATGACTGCGGAAAATTCAACATTGCCATTACAGGAATAAATTTCATTTTAAAATATATTCAAATAGAAAATTGTTCTTTTAATAATAATATTACTGTCATAATATTACTGTTTTACTGAATTTTTAAGTAAAAACGACATTGGTGAACATAAGAGACTTAAAAATATTAAAACAGCTTACTAACCCCAAACTTTTGAGTGTGTGAGTGTGTGTGTACATGTACATATTTCTTTTTTCACGATTTCTAATACTGCTTCGATGTGACGAATCAATTGTTCAAAATGTAATTAGTATGAAGTCAGAGAAAACTTTTAGTATTAATATAAAATTGAGAAAATGTGGTTTAAAAGTTTTTAGATGGAAATCATAACTTTAACGAAGTAAGAGAACCTTAAACTTTTCTTCTCCTTTTAGGAATGAAGCGTCCGCTGAGTCCTGTTGAAGACGGGTTGCTGACTGAACAGACTGGGCATGAGGGCGTGCCCTCTGATGGGGTGGAGTTTACAAGACAGGACGCCCCACCTCTAAACTCTCGTCCGAAGCGGGAGCGCAAACACAGGTCGTACACACTCTGTGAAGTGTGCAACATTCAGCTGAACTCCGCAGCACAAGCACAGATACACTTCAATGGCAAAACACACCAGAAAAGACTCAAACACATAAACAACAGCAACACAGGTATGATATGTGTGTCTTTCTCTGGTGTTCCTGTCATAATTGGAGCTCAAAAACTGGAGCTTCTTGCTTAAAGGGGTCATATGATGCGATTTCAATTTTTCCTTTCTCTTTGGAGTGTTACAAGCTCTTGGTGCATAAAGAAGATCTGTAAAGTTGCAAAGACTAAAGTCTCAAATCCAAAGAGATATTCTTTATAAAAGTTAAGAGTCAACCACGCCTACCTAAAACGGCTCGTTCTAACACGCCCACACATTTCTACCTCACTATGTGGGAAAAAAAAGACAATATAAGTCATTATATTACGTAATTATGTCCCCACTGGATGCAACAAATGCCTCGTTTATAATGGGTTTTAACGTTTTTGTCTCATCGTACCTTAAACCGCATAAACACATTTCATTACACCAAATACACAAAATAATGTTCTTTTTAACAACATCATATGACCCCTTTAACATTATCCACCCAAATAGGGCATGTTCCTGGATCAACATCCTTTATCAGCCCTGGAAGTGCTCATCTAGCAACAAATCCGTGCCTTCTGATTTTGGGGTGTTTTTTAGGCTACTGATTTGTTTCTAGAAGGTGCAATAAATTATGTGTATCTGGGAACATGTTTTACTAGGGTGAATCACACTGTGTACTGTACATTCTTGTGCATGTTGCTTACCATGATTTACTCAAGCTGGACAACATTCCTATCAACCAGATTTTAGGTGTAAGTTTAGATGTAGAGCTGGGGTTGGGTCAACAACATTTATATCAGCCATTCATTTCCCTCTGATTTCAAGGGTTGGTTTGAGCAGGGGATTCCAAACTTTTTGATCCCACAGACCCCAAATATGATAATGAACTCAAATGACAGCCATATTTTAATGTATAAATACCACATTTATACTGTGGAAAGTGTTACCTGTAAAAGGGTTAGTTTCTATTAAGCTGACACTGATTTTCTTCCTACTCTTAGGGTACTGTCTTAGATGTATAAGCCTGAAGAAAATGGCTATGGCTGTCAAATATTATTTTATTTCATTTTTGTAAACCCCCCTAGGTTAGGGGTACAGGAATAGGGTTTACCCTATATGATTGTGACAACGGAAATTGTTCCAGGAACATGTCCAACCTGGCTGAATCATGTCATGCTATTTATGTCAAATAATATTTTATGAATGCTGTGTGTTGACTTTTTGTTCACCTAATATTTTTTTTCTTAATATTAGTATTAAATGTGTAGAGACAATTTCTACACAAATCTGTATCTTCGCCAGTGTCACAGAACTTTTTGTTATTGACAAATTCATATCTATATGACATGCAAACTGCTTTAAAAACATTATCAACCACCTTCATGTTGTCAGCTGGGGGTCTGACAGGCATCTTCATGTAATTCATACCCTTAGACCTCATTGTGTCCATCTGCAGTTAATATGTGATTTTGACTCGACTTGCTTTTATGTTTCCATGGTGATGTGGCTTTAAAGCCCAGCTGATAGGTCAGGAAGGAGCATGTGAGAGGCCCGTGAGATGCTGATTGTTGTAGTTACGGTGGTAAAGACGGGGCTGTAAGTCTAGATGTCGGTCTGGAGATAATTGCTGGAGAGAAAGTGAGGCAGCTGGTGGCAGCTTTGTGTCGTGCAGCGTTATTTCCCCAGAAATGGGCGGAGTCAGACAGAATCATGTGATTAGATATGGAATTTGTCAGTTTATTTGAACAACAGTAGAATAATCCAGTAACACAATTCGTTTGTCCTTGCACACAACAACAGGGCTCTGCATAAACCTGCACAGACAGCAAGTGCATGCAAATGCCACACACTCGAAACCCAGGCCTGCAAACATAATTTTCCTTCTCTTGTAATGCAAATTTGAAATTAAAGCTAACTTCCATGCTGTTGATTCTTACACATAAAGACACACGCATGCACGGCCATTCATATGAGCAGCAGTCAGACCCACTTCAGGTGCAGGCTCTCATACAAATAGACCATAATTACATAGCAACCGAACATGTTCACCATGGAAATGCTCGATGTGGCGACACCCCCTTCAGCAACGGGGTACAGGCACTCACAGTCTCGGAGCCAGCTCGATTTTATGCAGTTTTTGTGTGTGCGCGTGTTAGGGTCTTAGCATGATTCTAAATGGTGAAGCTTTATGTTGTTTATGGAGAAGTTCTGAAATGCATGCCTATGTGTGAATGTGTGTGTTTGCGTTCAAGCACAAAGATATAAAGGTTCATTGATTAGCCATTCTGCTAGTGTTCGACTGCATAATAGAAGTCAAATTAGACTGGACAGCCTTTCCCATGAGCATACAGCAACGCCTGAAGCCTACTTGAAGCTACACACACATAACACATCTGCTTTGCATACACATCCTCACATACACAAAACTGTGAATGACTCCTTCAGTACTGTATGTCTTTCTCATTTTAAGTGGACATACAGCACGGTTCAGTAGCCAGTGATGCTGCATCATTAGCTACAGTTCCTTCATTTTTGTGAGAGAATCTAATCATTTGAAAGCTGGAAGTAAAATGTTAATTCTCATCAAATTACCAGTTTTAGCTACACTGAGTGGATTTATATCAGAGAGTAATGTTAATGTTTATTGTCCATGATAGATACAAATAAACAAATGTAATAAACTCAAGGTAGTGAAAACAATCAACTGTAATTTTCCGAAGCAACGTGAATGCTTTTCGTGCACCAAAAAACAAAAATAACGACTATTTTCACAATTTTCTTCACTTACGCTTCAATCTCCAATGCGCGTTCACGAGAGCTTCTTCTTCTTCTCCCATCCTCGGCGCATGCGTATTGTGTTGACACGAGAACATGACTCTCACGATCCAACCTGTACTGGAAGTGCTTTACTGTTTGCAAGCAGAGGAAGAGGAACACTACTGTAATATTTGTAATCATAGTTTCTAACAAAGGCAAAGCATTATTTAATGCTGTGTGGCAATACATAGTAGTGGTGTTTCATTCCTGCATGAATTGGTGAGTTTACACAAATCATTTGAGTAAATGATTCAATGATTCACTCATAAAAGACAGTCACTCGGGCTGTATCCGAACATGCATACTTGCCTACTAAATAGTAGGCAAAAAAGAGTATGTCCAAATTTACAGTATTCATAAAACAGTAGATGAAAGTACCCAGATTACCTAATATTTCAGGTGATTTTCAGCATTAGTTCAGTTGTATTGCTTTACAACCATTTTATTTCATTCATACAACACACACATACATACATACTATAAAAAAATTTGTAGCAGTCACTTAGTAATTATTTATTCTAAAGAAGAGTATGAGATTTCAGAAGAAATAAGCAATTTGTGGAGCAGCCTTATTTTGTTCCTGAATGAAGAGTGTTTGAACGAAACAGTGGCAGGGGCCACTTGCGCTTTTAGGGGGCACACTTTTAAAAATGTATTTTAACCTACTTTCAGTATTATTCATTCAGTCATTTTTCACCATGTCATGTACCACTGCAATCTAGAAGTAAGCTATAACAATTTACACTCAAATGATTATTTCATCATGTTTCATTTATCTGACAAAAAATTTTGTATTGTAGTGTCAGGGGAGTCATGCACTCACTCTTATTTTCGTGGGGGCACGAGTGAAGGGGGCTCGTCATGCTCGTTGTGTGACACACAGCAGCCACGATAGCACTTTATTACTGATATAGGCTTGTTTTATTTATTTTTTCCTTTTTATTCTAAATATTCCCTAACGTGTTAACTATATCATGAAATATCTCCATTCTCAATTATGTGTAAGTTAATGCATTTTGCACCAGATTATGTTAGTTGATCTATAGGCTAATGGGCGATGGGCAAAGTAGCCTAATAGTGTAATCTATTAACTATGCATAAAAACCCGTCTTTTTACTTAAGTACCAGATATGGGTGTCATGCCATAAAATATTTTTAATATGACTGACTTTGTATTTAATGTGAATTTAATAAAAACATTGTAAGTTACTAATTATAACACTTTCATGGTACAGAAAGAGAGGAAAGAACATTTACATTATCAAAAACATTATCACTGACTTCAGTCTAGCCAGAGTTCAAACGATCTCAAAAACTCCCATTATAATCACTGAAGCTGTTTACACTGTGAAATGAATATCTTACTTACATTCGTACACACATCTGCACTTTGTTGTTTATGATGAGAGAATTCGCCAGAGAGCAGAATTCAGTCAGCGAGTGCGCGCACTGAACAAAACACCGGCGTTTCAGCGATGACTCATCTGAACACCTCTGATTGGCCGCTGCGTCCATAAACTCAACAGAATCATGTGTGATTGGTTTTAATGCGCAGCGCTGTAAAACAATGTTTTACTTTTTTCCATTACTGCCACCCACAGGACACACTGCACATTGAACCCAAAATTGTTTGGTGTGATACGATTCCAAATTTAGGGGGGCCAGAGGGGGAACCAAGCTTGTTGACACAGGGGCACTGCCCCCCCTCTAAAACTGCCCCTGCCTACGTTGAACATGTTAATAAACTTAATTGGGTACAATAAAATGAGTGTATTTATTAGTATACTATAAATTATACACATTCCAGAACTCATTGTATTATACTTTTTTATACATTTTAGAAGTCATTCTACTTAACAGTTTAAACTAAATTCTAGATTGCCTATGGTAAGACTGTAAATCAGTTTTAGAAGAATTAAATGCATTTGTGTGTGTGTGTGTGTGTGTGTGTGTGTGTGTGTGTGACGAGGAGGGTAATATGAATATGTGCTTGCAGGGATATCATATCTACCTTTTATTTTGTTACATTTGAATAATTATAATCATTCTGTTTTGGGACTGTGTGCATACATGAACATTTGCTTTAAGACTCGGTATGTTTAAATCCATCAGAGCATCTGCTTTTGTCCACATTCATTAATGGTCCACTCTGGCAGATCATTTTACTTCACCCCATCTTTTTCTCTCTAAAACATATTTCACCCTCTACCCTTTTCT